TGTGCATGATACTGGAGTTTTGTTTGTACCTAGTAGTTATATATTTGGGAAGGGAAGGTAAAAAAACAAAAACAAAAACAAAAAAGAAAATAGAAAGACTGCATAGGAACTCACTTGGTCATCTTCCTCTTCAATGTCATCTCGAATACCCCTGGAAAAACAAGCGGAGAAAAAAAACTTCCCTGCAAGTGTTCCACATACTCAGCTCCATACTTTCATTTGATTAGTGCTGAGCTCCATATTTCGTGGAAGACACAACACTAACAGCTCAGTAACATTTATAATCCCAACCCATGGAGTTTTCATATTTGGTGCCAACCATAACAGCGACCCTGCAAAGACTTCTTTTTACTTCTATTAATGAGACTGAAAGATTAGGACTCCATCTTCCCAGTAGAAGCCACATCAAAGATCATCCTGGTCTAAGCTCTTGATGCTACAGAAGTCCCATAACTGAAGAGGAATATGAGCCAGGAAGTGCAAATCCGGTTCAGAACTTCCCCAGGTGGTGACTTGGATCCGGTGTTCTGTTTCAGGACCATGTATAATCTGGTCAACCCCATGCAATGCAAGTTCTACCAATGCATCTGACATTCATATCAAGAATCAACAGCATATCTTCCTTGGTCAAAACAGATAGATAAGCTGCAAAAATGTAAACTGTTTTTAAAGTCCAAATTTAGTATCCCAATTGTCACATGCTACCTAATATATCAGCTTTACAGGGAATGTCTTAAAACCTCGTTCAAGTTAGGAAGAATCTCCAGTACTACAGGTACAGCAGCACTGAGTTATTTTGCTCACATAGATGCAATTTTAAACTAAGCCATCCTGATCACTGCAAGGATGTGGAAAGAAGAAAAACTATTCAGGCTGATCTGGAAGGTTGTAGTAGTACAACGTGCTGCCCCAATTTGTGTGGCCTAGAAAGGCTTCTCGCGTGAGATAACTCCCAGTGTTGTTACATTTTACCGTAGGATGCCGCCATGGATTCTTCCCTCCTATTATTCAATTTTTATTGCACAGAACTTTACCCATGGGGGTAATATATTATATTGTCTACAGAACAATCATTATCAACAAAATGCATTGGAATTCTCTTAGCACCATACAAGACACAGGCAGGCATGGGAATTATAAAAGAGAACTTACTTAACATTCTTTTTTTCTTTGTCTTTATCTTCAAGTCTCTTCATGTCTCGAGCAGCTTGATCCTAACAGGTCATAAAATTATGACATGTTAAAAAAACCAAGATGATAAAACATGGAAGGGAAAAATGCTCCTACATAACTAGACCATCACGCCACAGAGACAACACTTTTTGGACTAAACTTTCTCTTGTTCCATACCCTATTATGCTAAACAAATTCTCCTACTAATTCCTTTGAAATTTATATACTGTAACTTCGCGGCAATGTTGTTGAAAAAATACATTCTCCGCATTCCTCCTGAAAACACTGTGATAGAATCCAGCTAATAACAGAACGGTAGCTAAGAAACAGCTCATGATAAATAGAAAACATTTCAATTCAGGTAGTGAAAAATGCACAAAACCTTAATTTCGTATTCAGAGACACACAAAGCTTTTCGTTGTATTGTTTTGACATGCTCAAAACAGTTAAATAGTTAAGCTATTGTAAATCATATCCACCCTCTCCCTATCTAATCCACCTTTGAATTCTAATTAACACAGCATCTCACATAAAAAACAAAAGGTAAGTGACATTCTGAATACAGCTGCCAAAGCCATGAGTGACATTTGCTGCTCCTGACTGGAGAGAAGTACGGCCACATAAATTAATAAACATTTCACGAGCCGGGTCTTGCCTCCACTTCAGCCATGAATGCCTCCAGAGGATCATCATCGCTGTCAGAGTCTGCTGATTTGGAATGAAACTGCTGGCGAGTGGGGGAATTCTCTGCGGGAATGTATGGCAATTCGACATTGCTGGAATCTTCCTCTTCATCCTCAAAATACCTGAAAAGAAACGAACAATGGCACAGTCAACACATAGTCGACAGCAGCGTACCTTCACGGTTTCTGCGTCAAGTTTCCTACACAGAGTTGGATAATAAAAGTCAGTACGTACACAGGAAAAGATGCTGAGATTTATTTATTTACAATTATTCATGTTGTAAGCTAAAAGCGGTGGTAGGGCAAATAGATGTTAGGAAACTGATCTTCCTGAGTGGCTCTCCCAGGCTGGTGAATATAGGATGCTTTTCTGACCTCCCTCCTATTCATCAACAGATTTATGCAGCTAATAGAAGGGTTAGTAAAGAAATGTGGAGTTGATTGTTCCCCTGTGCAAAAGACACCCAAATTTATCCTGCTTGGCTCCAATTCTGAACACACCAGAGTGTGAATAAGATTGAGCTGACTGAGGCTCAGCTGAAGTATGTTCTTTGGGAGGGGAAAGCTAGAGGAGGAGAGCTCTCCATGGGCTACTGTAGTACCTCACAGTCTTTTAAATATATTTAAAGGCAAGGGTGTATTATTATTCTCAGTTTATAGATGATGAAAGGGTAAATAATCGGTCCAGAGTGACACCAAAAGTCTGCTGGGGAGCAGGGATGGGAGTTCCTGCAGATGACTAGCTCAGTTTTTCTTGATACTACTGCTGTAAAGCTACCGGGGTTCTGTTACACCATAATGCAGTGTTAGGGTATTTATCCTTGAGCAGGCTTTTCTAAATAACTAAACCTCATAAATGTCATAGATACTTTCCCTGACCTCGGAAACTTGAAAACACTAAAATCTAGAGTTAGATAAACACAAGAAATAACCCTACTTACGCGTTCTCTTCATCAAAATTTGCTCGCTTTGACCCAATTTTGTAGAAAGAAGGCAGCTGAGGAGGCCCTGATTTCGCAAATGCAGCAGAAGAACCGGCTGTTCCAAAAGCACTATGAGACTGTTGAGAGAGCTTAGGCTCCTCTTTCTTTCCAGGTGTTATGGCAAACCCACCAAAACCAAAGCCTCTCTTAGTACCAGGTCCACCTTTATTCCAATTCATGATGTCCTCAATATATCTGTTAAAATCAGAACAGACAAATTAATCCCCGTTCTGCTTTAGGCAGTTATATATAATTGTCACGATTTTTCTTGCAAGTGGATTACTGCAGTCATGATAAAGAGACTTGTGGAAATGTGACTGACAAGAGCTTGATCTGTTTCCCAAAAAGGATTGGGGCTTTGTTCTTTTCTTGTAAGTATGCATGTATCCACAATTCGAAAAAAGAATAAAACAAAGAGGTTGCCTTCCAATACAGATCATGTCCCTCAGTGATTACTTAAGCACATTTAAGATGTTGCCTGTCTTGTGTGTTTTGTAATCTAAGACAAACAAACCCAAGGCCAGAACTTTGAACATCAGGAGGAACAAGAGGCGAAAAGTCAACTCAGTGCATATTTTGCATGTCCATACAGTCCCATCCTTGAGTGTTTCATGGCTTTGTAAACAGCACACTACTGCAATCCAGGCATCTCCAGAAAAGCGGGCCCAAGGCAGCACACCACTCCGTTACGAGACAAGGCACACTTCTGCCAAAAAGTCAACTCCCTCTTCTTCTTAAGAAAGCATCTTTAGCCGAATGTATGTTCCCTGACCTACATTTTTCAAACCACATTTTAAATACTCCATATAACATGCCTGCCCGGAACTCGGTTTTCTAAGTTAGACGATGAGAAGACTGAACTGATATACTAAGATGTACACTTTCCGTTCCAAGTAATTTAATTATTTCATCTGCATGGTCAAGTAAGTCATACCTTTAAGGCAGCCAAAGAGAGTATGACACCCACTGCTTTCAAGTGCATTATAATTAGATGGCTCAAAGGCCACAAGTCTTATTAAACAAATCCCCACATTCAGTGAGAATCCTCCAATGGGATCAAAATTCACTGGCAAGAGAAACAACTTCAAAATAATCTGAGAGCAAATACTGCTATTGCTCCCTGTGCAGAACATTTGCCATCTTGGGACTTGCTCAATAAATCTCAAGTCTGGACCCGAGCTCGCTAGGAGACTTTGGGGAAAACTCTGCTGTTCAGTTCTCCACAGCAGCAGCTGACTCTGGTGTTCTGTTCGCCCACTTGCCCTGACACACCTTGCAGCTTTCACCCCTGCAGACGCATGCCAGATAAGAGATCAAAATATGCAACGAACAGATGAAAGGTGTAACTTCGCACTTCTGCTGCTGACAGCACAGCGGGCAATCTTTTAAGTTATCACGTCTGATTTTAAGGATTCTTCCTCACTGTACTTACCGACATTTTTTTTCCTCCCACCACCCCAGAAAAGAAAAAGAATCATTCTTTTATTCTGTCATACAGCTGCAGAAGTACAAAATTTGGTCTGTTTGCCCACGGAGCCCGTTAGTGACTGAACACCGAGAGGGTTCCTGCAGGGCACCGATGAAACGCGGAGTGAGACGGCAGCCTCACTGCCGAGGCTTTGCGTCCCTGCGAACGCCGTTCCGAGGGAGGAAACGCCAAGGCACGGACCCTTCCTAGGGACCCCCCGCGTGCGAGGGAAGCGCAGCAGTATGTCTTAGCTGCTCCCGTTTCTGGC